AGCAGACCAGGACAGCACACCTAATCAGTTACCACAGTAGACATTAGTTCCTAGAAAGATCCCCAAATTACCCAAACGCCTACACCACAGAATGGGAGCCTGCCGTAAGGAATCTCTGCAGATCACCCTCATACAACCCTTGAATGTGGTCTGAACTGGCGTGGAGGGTAAGAAAGACACTAAACAATATGAGTATTCTTAACGTGGTACTGAGATAAGAAACCAGGGATACTCTCCCATATGTGACAACATCACGTACTGCTCATTGTGAACAGGTAACCACCTACTTTGGGGGTACTGTTGCCCTTGAGTCGATTCTGACTCATAGCTACCCTATAGGTAGATACTTATTTTTACAACTGTTTTAAAACTGAATCTGGTGGGCAGCCATCATGTTACCAAATAACAGGGAAATCTGGCCTTGTGAAACTTTTGGAACTCTCTAACCACATTAAAAAATTGCAACCCAAACCATCTTGTACTCCCCGCCCCTCCCTCCCAATCACATTCCATGTGGAATGATCATGAAAGAGTACTGGAATCCCCAAGTGGAATCACAATTCTTTTCAAATTAGATGACAGAAACTCAAAATTCTGACACGTAGCCAAATGACAATTCTCACATGGTGGAGAGTGGAAGGTAGACAGTGATCCGCTTCCAATTCTGGAGTCTTTCTGAGGTGTAAATTGAACTTTCTGTGTAGTGCAGACAGCCAATGGTTGGAGGAACACACTCATCGGTGACAAGATGCCAGTCCCTGCCGTTGTTCAGAGAATACTGGAGCTGCACACTGTGGGAGTTGCTGAAGGGCTTGCTACAGCCCATGCTCATTTCAAACTGCAAGAAGGTTGATGCTGACACATGAAAATCCCAGGTCTCAGCATAACGCGGTTTCCCTATTTAAAAAAAAAAAAAAAGAAAGAAAAGTTTAATAGTAGCATAGAATTGTACTTTCTTTTCTTATTTGGTATTTATGTTTGTGGTCAATATTTTCAATAGCAAACAAAAATAATGTCTTATCTGTAGTGCCTCATATTGGTTTGACTTATCACCTTTACTCAGTTTTTATTTAGTTACATAGACCCAAAAATATGGAAGGCAGCTAACTTGAAAAGCTTTACTACCTTGAAGGACCAACATAGGGTCTTAAGTCTATAATTCTGCAAATTATGAAACATGGAATGTCTTTCTTCTTGCTCCTAAGAAACCCTGTCAAATAATCCATGCTCTGTGAAAGACAGTCCCAAGTAAAATCAAGTCACTGGGCTCACCAAACTATATTATAGGACAATACAACCTGTTCCCCTAAGACCCTCCCTTAGAACAAGCAGTTATGCACACAGTTTTGCATTAGAGAATTTCCTCTTGAGTTTTAGTTACTTTAGTTGTCCAGTTAATCAAATTGTCTCCTTTTATCTGATAATGATCTATACCTATGTTTTCACTGAATATCAGAGCAGTATCCATAGACAGACAGTCAATATCCACTTGGCCTCCTTGGATTCGATACCAGTTGGCTTGCAAATCTAGAGAGCCATCAAATTTGTCTTGAAACCCAGTTTGTGAGCTGTCATTCATTCCTATAAGGACATCATCCAAAGCCCACTGGGCTGAATGCTTCCCTAAAATCAGATGAAAAAAGGCAGTTAGAGAAGGTTCATTACATAGCAACACGAATAGCTTTATGACTGTGTTTTTAAATCAATTGTCTGCAAAACAATGTAGCTGTGACTGTATGATGTGATCTAAAAACTATCAATATACTTGGGGTGAATGGTAACTCACCATGTTGAGGCTGCCACCATCGAAATGCCGTTGCAGGCGTCTTCGCCTCCCTTGGCAGGTCAATGGAAATCATCTGTGGCTCCAGAAATGACATGAAGTC